AATATAATTTATATCATTTTATTAGAAAAATTTACATGGTATAAGTCATAAAAAAAATTTATTATCGTTACGAATTAAATGTAATTTAACTTACTTTCAAATTACATTTTCTTTAAAATTTGAATTTCATTTGCTTTCTGGATTAAACTTGAAATATATCTCAATTCATTTACGAAATGGTAAACAAAACTATAAAAGTAACAAAATTTATTTAATAGTATGATAATGATGTAATTATACGATATTTTCAAACTATCAAAATATGTATTAACTTATTTTCATTAATATTATGTTTTTCAAAAAAATTAAATTTAAAATTTTGACCCCACAACAATAAAAGTCTGGATTCGCCCCCTGCTTGAGAATGTGGTTTCTAAATGAAATGGAATGAGGACCTGTCTGCTATCAAGTGTATAGGATATGGACTAAAGCTATAATTTTCCCCTATGATAATTTGGTTTTTTGATTTGACACAACACGGTTTCTCAATAAATCAAGAACCATACAACTTCAAAATTCCCTGAATACGCGTTAATGCATTTTCTTGGAAATTAAACAAAATAAAGGTAAAATTCTTAAAAAGTTGGGAACGAAACACGCCAATTTCCCATTAAAAAAATTAATTGTTTAATTTGATACAACACAATTTCTCATTGAATCAAGAACCATACAACTTCAAGATTGCTTGAATACGCGTTAATGTTTTTTCTTGGAAATTTAGCAAAATAAAGGCAAAATTCTGTAAAAGTTGGGAACGAAACACACCAATTTCCCATTAAAAAAATTCTTAGATTAAAAAGACCCATTCAACTGAAACAAAGCAAGCAATTTCAAAGAATGATTAAACCATTCATGAGATACATTAAACATGAAAAACCAATTCATGGAACATATTAAAAGTAGTTGGAATAACAGAGACAAAAAGTAGTCAAATAGTCAAATACAGGGGAAAAAAAGCATTGTTCATGGAAAAAAAAAAAAACTATTTGTACAACTTTAAATGGGACGATAAGAGACAAAATTGCAAACCCATAAACATTAAAATAATAATTTAATCATCTACGTAGAAGTGAATGGAGTGAGTATTTTTGGTACATCAAGGTGTCCTCCACTCACATGGGATGGGGATCATCATAATGAAATATTCAGGTGGACCCCACCGTATGTGAGTGGATGACACCTTGATGTACAAAAAATTATGAACAAATAGATTTATCCTAAAAAAAATTACTAGTTTTATATATAGATGTATAGAATTTAATATATTCTCTTTGAAGATTTAATCCGCAAGTTCTTAGGCAAAATTAATTTGGATATTTATTTATGTTTCACTTTTATGCTGTTTAAATTTGTTAGATCACCTCCTACAACACAATCATTTTTGAAAACTAACGAAATTAAAAAGAGAAGGCGTTAGATTGGTGAAAAATGAAGACTTGAGTCTTTTTTTTTTAAACAATCTTGTTACAGTGACATGCTCAATGACAAACGGGACATATGTCCATATATGATTGGACAGTTTATAAAAAATACAACGCTCAATCACTGTCTGCCACACCACCCTGTCACCCTCATCCCTATCATTGCTCCTGTCCAATGAGCATTGTTCTTTTTCAAATCTGTAGACATCCACATACTTTTGTGAGAGTAGGTTCTTATATTTGCATTTGTTAAATTACTGACATCTCTTCATTAGACTTGTCATTGGATTCTATAACATAAACGTTTCTGACTGCACTCAAAATCTGAAAGAAACGAGGTCATGATGGTAAGAAAATGATAGACGTGATATTTCATTAGATTTTCATGCTCAATATACAAGTCATGTTTGATATAATTTTTTGAAAATAAATTTTGTGAAAAATGTGTGTGTGTTTGTGTGTTTTTATTTTATTTTATTTTTTATTTTTTTAGAAGGTATGATTAAAATGGATTTTGATATTTCGTCCTATAGAAGCAATGGCAGAGTATAGTTCGCCTTATACGTCGCATAATTCAGTTAAGATAGGAAAATAAAGAATTTTCATATAAAATTATTTTAATGAGAGAATGCATAATTCAAAATGAATTTAAAAGAATCATTACGAAAGCATAAACACATGGATTGTGTTATATCACCATGCAGACTGCAGATCAGATATGAGACCAAGTCCATTGAGAATCTTTATAAAACTTTAAATATTTATAACATTTGGTATATTAAACTCAATAGAACGAAGGAATGATACATTTTAAACTTTAATCCTTTCTCATAAATGTTGCTCTGTAAAAATACTAAGTTACAATTAACAGTGATGCTTGTAAACTGAACAGCACCACATAAATTGTGATGACTATGCAAATAAAAATAAATAAATTGAATGAGGACTACATTGCAACTGCGTGTATGGACTCATTCATTTGTAGTCCGCGTTTTTCCGTATTCTACATTAATTACTGAAATGCACATGGAGTCCTAGAGGGACCATACCAACTTAACAAGGAAAAATATAACGCCTCAATTATTATTATTTTTTTAAAAAAAAGAAAGAAAGAAAAGTCAAAATCTAAAAAATTGAAGTAAAATATATCAAAGTTTAAAAAAAAAAAATTGAAATCAAAACAAAAGTGGACAAAGGGAGGCGGTGGTTGATTATATTAATCCAAATCCATTTCATTTTCATATCAATCCACCTATATACAATCCATATACACATAACATATATACAAACAGAGAAGAAACGAGAAAGAGAAAAAGAGAGGGAAAAGAAAGGAAAAAGGGGAAAGGAAAGGGAAAAAAAAAGAGAAGTGGAAAGTTCACCTATGTTGTTAGAAAATAAGTGGTCCACACTATTAGGCTTGAATTCCTCAATTTTAAAAGGTAAGTAAAAAATTACTTATTGTCGAGTTATGTTTGATTTTATAGTTGTTAGATTGTTAGATTAAATTCAATTTTATTGAAAGGGTTAAGTATAATAAGCTATGAAATTGAGTTAAATGAAAGAAAAATTAGTTTTAGAGCTTAAAAAGACTTTAGAAATCACCAAAACGTGAAATGATTAAGTTTAGTTATCGTCTATTTAATTAGTTAAATTACTTAAAATAGTTAATTGTTGATTTAAAAATTATATCATATTTTAGACGATGATACTGATATCGGGATAGCTTATTAACTGAGTTAATTTTGCGAACATAGTTCTGTGAGTGGAAAAATATAAACATTTTAAAAGTATTTATAAATTAAGTATATTATCAATGTATGTGCAATTATGTGAATTATTTGCTCCATTATCTGATTAAGATGAAAGTTTCTTTTATTATGATCCATGCAAAATTTCGAGGATTATTTATGGCACATTTGTGACTTGGTATATAAGACATATGATATTAAGATTTATTTAGTATGTGAGACATGTATTATTAAGATCGGCTAGAAAAGTACCCATGATTATATACTTCTTCTAGTTCATAGGGGGGCCTTGATCGTGTTCTATCCTACACGAAAGGGGTCTTGACCTGACATTGGTCTTGATTGTGTACATATAGTTCACAGAGGGGTCTTGACCGTGTTCTAGAATTGATTACCAGAGGTCTTGAGACCGACTTTCGTTCACGAAGGGGGCCAAAGACCCGTGACGAAAGTTTTTAGCCCAAAGGGCGGATTACAGATTTTAGTCAGAGGGTACATTTTTGGTAGATTTTCTTGTACATTTGATGTGATGAGATTATAGCGTGATTACTAGCTTATGTTTATATTATGACTTGAGATGATATTTTACCATGTTATGTGAATGTTTCACGTTTTAGCTATAATTATATGATGTTATCTTGCGGGTTATTCAATGATATGAACTTGATTTTCGATAAAGATGTAAAATTGAAAAAGTATAATTATTTTTGAACTTTTCCACTCACTGAGCTATCAACTCATATATTTTTCCGTAATTTTTCCTACAGGTAGCAGTTGATTCTTTTTAGATGGAAGAGCCTAATGATTTCGAATTGAGAGCCACACGATATGTTGAATATTATCACTCGTTTTGATGAAGGATGAAGTAAATAATTTGTGCCCATAGCATTATGTTTTACATAAACGTAAGATTTTGTTGCATTTTTTGAATTAATTCATAGTCAGTCTTGGCGTTAGATTTGACATTTGTCAGCATTTATCGTCGGCGCATGTCACGTTTCTGGTCCACGAGGGTGATTCGGGACAGGTCAGGTCAAAAAAGTTATTATTAAATAATCAGAATAACGTGTTATGGGGTTATTGATAGTTTTATATTTGTCCAACTCCCATCTTTTCTTGACAGAAATTGAAACACAATGAGACTCAATTCAATTATAGTTATTCGTTTTTTGATCAACGTTATCTACATATAAGTGAATGCGCCTTAGGTAGTGATGTTATAAAATTTTATATTTTTAGTAGAGGTTTTTACATTAAATTAGATCGTTAAAAAATTTTATTTGTTCGATATATTGATGTATAGGATTTAATTTATTCTCTTTGAAAGTTTAATAGTCGAGTTCCAAGGCAAAACTGGTTCGGATATTTATTTCTGTTTCACTTTAATACAACAGAATTTTTTTGACAACTAACGAAATAATCGTTTTTGACAGGTAACTAAATAAAAAAGAGAAGGTGTCAAAGCGGTGAAAAATGAAGATTGAGTCTTTTTTCCAGTCCACAGACATCCAAATACTTTCACGAGTATAGATTTTTCTTATCTTTGTTAGATCGTGAACATCTCTTTCATTGGACTTAAAAGTTCAAAATTTAAATTAGAGAACAATTTTACAAGAGGTGTAAAAAGTTGGATACTAAACGTGCAATTTATTCATCTATTTTTATTTTTTATTTTTTTAATGTACAAAAGATGCGTACTCACATGATAACCACTTTGTTAGGCGGATAAATCTATTTCTACATAATTTTTTGCACATAAAAATGTATATAAAGATGTTTGCACCCTCACATGGTGGAGCCCTTCTCGAAGCACAAACCTTGTTAGGCACGTCATTGTAATACTTTTCTCTTGCGCTTGCAATCAAATCCCCATCCCCATCCCGATCCCCCTCCTTTCTCTCTCTCTCTCTCTCTCTTTAATCTTCTTCATCCCTTCCCTTCTCTCAATTCCTCCACCACAACTCACAGAACCACCACTTGTTACGATTTCGTGATATTATCTCTTGATCAGATTCTGTGAAAAAATCAAATATGGCTTATGCTGCTGTAATATATCTCAATGGGATTCTGGAGCAGATGTCAAATCCTCATCTACAACAACATCAGACTCCTCTTCAGGACCAGCAAATTAAATCTCTCCAGGAAAAGTTGAATTTCACACTAGATTTTCTGGATGATTCTTTCAAGAGAAGGAGCGGGGAAATACAAATTTTGGAAAGAGAAATTCGAGATGCAGTGCGCAAAGCTGCAGATATCTTCGAATTATATATATCGAAGAATTTTGATCAGGAAGGTTTAAAAGAAAGACAAATCAGAGACCAAACTTTTTGTGAAAAATTTGAGATAGTAGCAGATGAAATTGATTCCATTAAGAGAAAGGCGGCCGATCTTAAGGTATTGTGGGGTGCAACAGATCTGCACCAGAGCCAGAGGACTTGTTTGCCAACCGGTCCATCAAGACTTGCTTCAAGCGGCAGGAGTGATACGGTCGGGTTTCGTGAAGATTTGATGGAAATAATTGATCAACTTACTGGATATCAGCCTGCTCTTCAAATTATCCAAGTTACAGGCATGGGAGGCATTGGCAAGACCACACTTGCTAGAAATGTTTACAATCATCCACACATTGAACATCATTTTGACAATCGTGCCTGGGTGTCAATTTCTCAAGAATATCGTGAACGAGAAGTCTTGCTGAGCCTTCTGGATTCCATGAAACAACTCAGTGATGAAATGCATCGAGAGAACAGAACTGAAATATTAAAAGAGTGTCTATATAAAAGTTTAAAAGGTCAGAGGTATCTCATCGTGATAGATGACATTTGGACTACTGAAGCTTGGGATTCTTTGAGAAAGATATTTCCAGACGACATGGAGGGAAGTCGGATCATGTTGACCTCACGCCTGTCGAGTGTGGTTGACTCCTCTCACCATTCCCATCAAATGCAATTTCTGAATGCGACTGACAGTTGGAATTTACTTCGTCGGGAGGTGTTTGGGGAAGATTCTTGCCCTATCGAACTGGAGGAAGCAGGAAAGGAGATTTCAGAGAATTGTAAAGGACTTCCACTTTCCCTTGTCGTGATTGGTGGTCACCTTTCCAACGCCAACAGGACGAAAGACCACTGGGAGTATGTTGCACAAAATATCAAGTCAGTAGTAACTACAACAGATGCAAACTGCTCAGAAATACTATCTCTAAGTTATGATTACTTGCCTCATTATCTAAAAGCATGCTTTCTCTATATGGGAGTTTTTCCAGAAGATGATGAAATTCGTGTCTCCAAACTCATCAAGTTATGGGTTGCAGAGGGATTTCTAAAACCAGTCAGAGGTAAGAAATTGGAAGAAGTGGCAGAGGAATGTTTGGGTGACCTAATTTCCAGAAATCTTATTATGATTAGTAAGAAGAGTCCTGTAGGAAAGATAAAAACCTGTGGCATCCATGATATGTTAAGGGACCTATGCTTAAAGAAAGCCCAGGAGGAGAAGGTTATTCATTTCAGAGATAAAGATGACATTTTTGCTGAAAGCATAAAGTATTCACGTCGCTTGTGCATTCATCCAGATATTCTTCACGAGGAATTCAAATGTTTCCAGTCCATGGGATCCTTGCCATCAGTCCATTCTATTTTAATTTCATTTTCTGAAGACGGCCTCATATTCCCTAAAGACCTAGACGAAAACCAGATTTATGAATTAGTTGATGGAAAACTTTTTCCACTGCTTAGGGTGTTGGATTCCAAACAATATGAAGAGGGTTTCCCGTTTGGAGAAATAAAATTAGTTCACTTAAGGTACCTTGCTTTCCCCCGTTATGGGGAAGTTTCCGTGCCTAAAACATTACCTGATTTTCTTGGGCATCTACAGACCTTAATTGTAGATAGTTACGATGTACATCTACCAGAGGAGATATGGAGGATGACACAATTAAGGCATCTCCTGATCGGGAAGTGTTATTTGCCATGCCCTACTAGATCACCAATAGCTGGGGAGAATTTTGTTCTAGGAAATCTTTTAACACTTTTGAAAGTGAGTGGTTCTAGCTGTACCAAGGATGTCTTTGAAAGACTTCCAAATCTAAACAAGTTAGGAATTTTGAATGGCAAGTATGATACGATTTCTTTAGGTATTCTGGTTAATCTTCCTCGACTTGAGACCTTGAAAATTATAAGTGTAGATGAACGTGTTAGAGTTCCTATAAATTTTACTTTCCCACCAAATATCAAAAAGTTAACTTTAGTGAGTTGCAAAATTGCTTGGAAACACATGACTATTGTTGGTTCAATGCCCAACCTTGAAGTGCTCAAACTGCTAAATAATGGCTTTGGGAGCAATGGGAGGCTAGAATGGGAGCCAACCGAAGGAGAATTTCGCAAACTAAAATTTCTGCTACTTAGAACTAATTTTCTAGAGCAATGGAGAGCCAGTAACGCTAACTTCAGAAGCCTTGAGTGCCTAATGCTTAGGGGCTGTTTCAAACTAAAGGAGATCCCTCGTAGCATTGGGGATATACCAACTCTTCAAATCATTGACTTGGATGATGCTAGCCCTTCAGTTGTGACTTCAGCAAAGCAGATACAAGAAGAACAAGAGGAGTTCGGAAATGATATTCAAGTTCGTGTCCTTGAGACATGCCACAAGTTCAACCATCAACAGGTAAAAGCGATTCCTTGAGCCATACTTACTGTTGCTTGTGTCTGATCATTTCGATAGATCCTTATAATGAAATTTTAGCAAGCATGACCATTTTTTGTTCATTCTTGCTACTTAAAGGGAATTTTGTAAATTTATTATCATCGAGAAGTCCATATCTTTTTCATATTCTCCATAAATATATCCAAAAGGTTCCCTAGCATGCTCCTTCACCCTTGAACAGAAAGGTGATGACTCTGCTCTGACCTCATAATTCAGCAACCGCTGGCTTCAGCGAGCATGACTTCAACTGTAGCTTATATATGATAATTTCACCACATTTTAGTTACAGAAATATAAAAGGAAGACAGAAATCCTCTCTTAGAAACCAAATTTGAAAGAAAAATGTGTCTTTTTGCATAATGAAATAGATCTTGCAAGTAATTACGTGGGACAAATATAATCGAGTAGAACTAGTATATAGAAACTGTTATGTAAACTTCATTATTAATTTCTTCCAATTGAAACAGAGCGAGGGATTGGGGGCTGAATTTATAGCTAATCTTGAGTCAAATGGCAACGAATTGCAAGCCTGTCCTCTGCTAAGTAGGCTTATTAATGGTAATCATTTAATTTACTCTTCCTGAAGCCAATTAATTCGATATAAATCTTTTTACTGTTTAAGCTATTTTCTCTTATATCTCTGATTCCATCTGGTTTCAATTAATTTGTTTCCACAGGCATGAATCCACCATCGAAAAAATTAATATCTGGAATTGTTTCTCGACTCCTCGAGAATTATGGTGGAGATGATCACCTAATGCTTCAGGTTTAAATTTGTGCTTTTAATTGCTTCTCTTTTTTTATTTCATATGTTTCAACTGCTAAATAAATTGAGTTATTCATTTCTTAGTTTGCGGTAGTGGCGGCTATCAAAAAATTTTTAGTACGTTCATCTGACAACATCAACATCCTAATTGAACAAGGTGCAGTTCCCATGATGGCCAGTCTTCTTAGTTCTCCCGTTAATGGACTTCGCAAAGAGGTAGGTGTTGTGTTGTGATTTTATTGCAAGTGTAAGATGTCTATCAAATAAGTATTGAAGTGGACTTAAGAATCTTTACACGAGGACCACTTGATTAAAATAATGAAAAATGTCACAAATAGAATATTTACAGTTTTACTTGATGTATGAAGGATTCACGAGTTCATCATTATTATCTCTTTAATGTCAGTTACCAAATCCCAGCAATAGTTAATTATGCTTACTTGATCGAATTCTTCTAAAGTAATTTATTTACTCCTTTCGAGTTAAAATCGATTCCATTGAATTAAGTAAACTCATGTCTCTATGCGATTCCAGATGTGCTTTAATCAAAAGTATTCAATCACCAAAGAATTTAATTAATAATACACAGTAAAAGTGATGAGGTTCGTGTGGAGGAACAGACCATTGCGTACATGGAAGACTTGGATGGTCAGCGTTCGAAGAAATTGGCATAACTTTCGCATATAGTGTCCGCTTTGGGCCTATAACCCCATTTTGGAAAGCTCGCGATGATTCTGAGTGAACTCACCGCTTTGTTGTAATATATGATGGATTTTGACCATTTGAATTCGTTTACTGTGTCAAACAGCATTTACAGTTTCTTAATTTATTATTTTCAGTATTTGTTATTTCCGCTTTATAGCCTAGCCCATTAATGGACTGCTGGCTCAGTAAGTTATTTGTTCTTTTCGTATTTTAGGCTCTGAAAACACCTCCTAGGATTTTTTTATTGTTCATGAAATAAGAAAAACGTTGATTTTTTGAGTTCAATCAGTTTGAGTTATTATCGTATGTATGTAGATTTGATCTCCATCATTTGGTATCAGAGCATGGTTCGTGGAAGAGGGCATGCTGGTTGTGGTGGCTAGATTGATGAAGTTACAGATCTGTGTAACCAAGTCGCAGTGTTAACAGTTCGATTTGATCAATTTATGATGTGGGCGGCGGAGGTTGTGCAGAACGGAACACCTCATGTTCCCCAACGTCATGTCCCAGTGAGTGATGGGAAAGTTGGATATGAATTAGGTGAGAGGTCGGATGAGAAGACCTTATGGGAGGCACATGACGATCGCGTTCAACAGCCTCGTGTGCAACAGCAGGACGCGTTTCAGCGTTGAGAATTCGGAATCATGGTTGATATACCCGAGTTTCACGGTGGGATAGAGGTGGATGAATTCCTCGATTGGCTAGCGGCAATAGAGGAGATTTTATATTACAAAGAAGTGCCCCGATAATAGAAGGGTACCTTTGGTGGCGACCCATTTGCGTGGTTGCGCTACTGCTTGGTAGCAGCAACTAAAGCAGAATCGGATCCGTCAGGGTAAGGCGAAAATCTAATTGTGGAAAAAAATGAAGAAATAGTTGAAGGCGGCATTTTTCCCTAAAATTACGCCAAGACCTTATATCAACATTTACAAAATTTAAAGCAAGACAATCATTCTGTAGATGCTTATTCCACAAAGTTTTACCAATTAATAGCAAGAAATGATATGGGAGAGTCAGAAGACCAGTTGGTGGCATGCTACATTGGTGGCCTACGGTTGAATTTCCAAGACATTCTTACTATGTTTTCGTTGGTATCTGTTTCGGAGGCTCATCAGCGTGTACTTCAAGCTGAAACTTAGCAACTACGTCGTTCTATAGTAGGTATTTCTGGAGGTCCATCTGGAGGTAGGGGTCGACCATTTGTCCCAAATCCCACATCTGGTCCGTCCCATACATCTAGGGGTTGAGTCGCTGATCGGAGCACTCAACCAGTGGCTTTTCCAACCGTTAGTCCAAATGGTTGGGCTCTTTTTGGTGGACAAGGATGTGGTATTCAGTGTTTTGGTTAGGGTGGCTTTGGTCATTTGAAGAAGGACTGTCCATCCCAAGGATAGTCATGCCCAGGCTTGTTCCTCGGAGGGGCAACATAAATTGATGTTCATGTGGTGAATGAAGAAGAAGAGACCAAAGTTGTGCATGCAGGTGACACGGGGCCTCTTTTGGTGGTGCAGCCGGTGTGCCTTACGCCTAAGGGGTCATTTGAGGACTTGCAGTGAAACAACATTTTTGTGTCCACATGTACCGTTGGAGGGAAGGTATGCAGGTTCATCATTGATTCGGGCAGTTGTGAAAATGTGATATTTAAGTCGCCATGCAGAAGCTGTAGTTAAGCACCGAACCTCACCCTGCTCTTTATAGCCTAGCATGGTTGAGACGAAGTAATGAAATTATGTTACTAGACATGTGTTGGTATCTTTCTCTATTGGCAGTGCGTATTGTGATAGTGTTTTGTGTGATTTGGTGCCTATAGACGTGTGTCATCTGTTGTTAGGTCGTCCTTGGCAGTTTGATAGGGATGTGTGTCTTGAAGGCATCGAAACGCGTAAACGTTCACCTTTTCGGGTAAAAAGATTGTACTACTACCCTTCAAAGACACTCATTGTATGTCTTCGGCAGGGGATACTTTCCCGATCCTTGTTTATGCGTGAGATGTTAACGGAAGGTGTTGTATTGTTGTTAGTGGGAACTGGGGCGACGGGAGTGTCAACAATTCCTATGGCAGCCGAGGGGGTGGGTCTTCACCCTAAAGCTGCCGCTTTGGTGTTTGAATTTCACAATGTTCCCAGATGACCTTCCACAGGGTCTTCCAACTTTGCAGGATATGCAACATCGGATTGATTTACTACCTGGCACGTCGCTTCCTAATCGCCCACATTATCGAATGAACCTAGTAAAACATGAAGAGTTGAGGAGACAGGTAGAGGAGTTGGTGGAGAAAGGTTACATCAGAGATAGCATCAGCCTATGTGCAGTCCCCGCACTTCTAGTGCCAAAGAAAGATGAGAGTTATCGAATGTGTATAGATAGCAAAGCCATCAACAAAATAACAGTTCGTTATCACTTTCCAATATTGAGATTAGATGACTTACAACATTTATTGTAAGTATTAATTAAATTACACATCATGGAAGAAGAGACATACAAGAAAGAAATATAGTACATGACCAAGTTAAAAGAAAAAATGAGAAAATTTTGAAGACTTTTCACCAAGAATCGTCTTCTTCCACGCCAAATCTTGAAAAACCTATTTTTTCCTTTAACTTTTCTCTTATTTTTGGCTTTTGGAACATTTTTTCCCTTAATTTTATAAAAAATAAGTCCTTATATAGTGGTAAAAATGCTTTGAGATTTGTGCTTCTAAAAGACAAAACGAATCAAGAAAAGTAGAAACAACAAAAACTTTTGTCCCATCGGACTGGTTCGAACAACAATGTAACCATTTTTCAAGCTTTTATTATTATTTTTCACTTTTCAACATTAAATTGTAAACCAAGTTTTTGAACTTTTAGCCTTTTTCATTTTGATCCTCCAACTTTTTATCTCGTCAATTTTGGTCCTTTCACTATTTAACATGTCCAAGTTATTCCTTTTATTTTCGTACGTTGCACTTTGGTCTCTATTTCAACATTTTGTCCAATTTTGATCCTTTTCACTCCAATTCTTCAATATCTGATCTCACAATTTCCAAAAGCTTCTAGATTGTTTCGAAACCTCAACAATCTTCCGTAAGTAGTCTTTCTTAAATTCCAGAAGTGTGCAAATTAGTCTCCAAACTTCATATAAGTTGAATTTCACTTTAGAAACCTGCAACATTCCTCCTATTTCTCTCTTAATGCTCATTATTGGTCCTCTGTGCAATCCGGTTAATCTTCATTTGCTCCAAATCAACTATAAATTAGCTAAAAACCTTCCTTTTTTTTGTACGAACTCTTTCTAATTGGTTTTTACCTACAATTATCATATCGTAAGTAAATTATGTAGGAATTGACTCAAATATAAATTATTTATCAAGTTTAAGTATCACGTATAAGTGCGTATAAACACCTTATCGCATTGTAAATATTGAAGGATTGCAGTCAAATCTAAATCATACAAAATACACACCCACACCAAGAAAGAATAAAGACCAATATGCTGGAGTAATGCTACATAGGTAACATTAAATTATAGGTTCAATTAATGGGTCGAGTAGACCGATGATGAACACTATTCAACACATAGCATTATTCAATGTATTGATGTAACGTCCATAGAGCTGGAAGATGAACTCAATCTGCACTAGGAGTACTATCGCTATAGTTTACAAGTTGATGACACATGGAAGATATACGCCCAGTGGGAAACTCCATGATGAGGAGATCGAATGTTTATGTATTTTATTTTCTAGTTAAACTTTTTTTATTTTCTTGGACTATTATTTAGAAAATTGGACTTGTATGGGTTCGGGCCCAATCTCGTTAGGGTTTGCTTTACTATTTAAACATACTTTACTTTGTAATTTTCAGTTAATGAATGAATAAAATTATTGGTGGCTTGTGGCGAATTCCTTCTCTCTTCTCCATTATTCTTCTCCTTCTTCTACTAGGCTTTCCCTTCTGTCATCCCTTTCCCTAATCTCTTCTTCCTATTATTTGGTTTTCTCGCTTTCTATTCAATAGTTCTATTGGTAGTCATGGAGGTTTCATCTAACTCCACAATAGAGAGCCCTGCTGAAGTTCAGCCGATCCTTCAAGAGATTTGAGATGTCTTTCCGGAGGACCTACTTGATCATCTACCTCCTCTAAGGGACATTCAACATGCCATAGATTTCGTCCTAGGGGCATCCCTTCCAAATTTACCTCATTATAGGATGAATCCTACCGAGCACGTTGAACTCCAAAGATAAGTGGATGATCTCCTTTACAAAGGATTCATTCGTGAGAGTTTAAGCCCGTGTGTTGTCCCCGCCTTATTGACGCCAAAAAAAGATGGTTCTTGGAGAATGTGTGTGGATAGTCGCGCTATCAATAGGATCATGGTAAAGTATCGTTTTTCCATTTCCGGCCTTGATGATATGCTAGATATGATGGTTCGTGCGACAATCTTTTCGAAGATCGATCTAAAGAGTGGATACCATCAGATTAGAATTCACCCAGGTGATGAGTGGAAGACCGCGTTTAAAACAAAAGATGGTCTTTATGAATGGTTGGTCATGCCTTTTGGGCTAATTAATGCGCCAAGTACCTTTATGCGAGTAATGACACAAACTCTTCGACCTTTCATGGGCAAGTTTCTTGTTGTCTACTTTGATTACATTCTCATCTATAGTAAGACTAAGGAGCAACACAGTGATCACCTCACACAAGTTTGTTCTACCTGTTGTGCAACTAATCTGTATGCTAACGTCAAGAAGTGCTCTTTCTTCACCGATACAGTCATTTTTCTGGGGTTCATTGTCTCTTTGACAAGGGTATCTGCTGACCCTACTAAGGTTCGGACGATTATTGACTAGCTTGAGCCTAAAGATATTCATGATGTCAGGAGCTTTCACGGCTTAGCTACATTTTACCGTAGCTTTGTCAAGGGGTTTAGCACTATTATGGCGCCTATCACGGAGTGCATGAAGAAAGGGGAGTTTCATTGGACACAAGAGACGGCTAAGGCCTTTAAGTTGGTCAAGAAGCGAATGACGGAGGCTCCTATCATTTGTCTTCCCGACTTTTCCAAGGTCTTTGAAGTTGAATGTGATGCCTTTGGGGTAGGTATAGGCGGAGTCTTGAGTCAGGATCGTCATCTTGTTGCCTACTTCAGTGAGAAGTTAAATGAAGCCAAACAATGGTACTCAACTTATGATAAGGAACTATATGAGGTGGTCCAGGCTTTGCGCTATTGGTGCCACTACTTGTTGCCCCAGGGATTTGTCCTTTATTCGAACCACGAGGCCCTCAGTTACCTCAACTCCTAGAAAAGATTAAGCTCTGGGCATGGTCGTTGGATTCAATATTTGCAGGCCTATTTATTTGTTTTAAAACACAAGAAGGGCGTGGAAAACCAAGCAGCTGATGCATTAAGTCGTCGTGTCTCCCTATTGTCGATCATGAGTGTCAAGGTCATTGATTTTGAAAGGCTTAAGAAGGATTACGAGGCATGTCCCGATTTTAAGGATATCTTTTTCGATTTGCAAAGGGGACATTCAAGCACCACATATGGCTTCCAACTTGAGGAGGGTTATCTCTTTCGAGCCAATAAATTGTGCATCCCTCGAACTTCAGTACGAGATTTCATAGTGTGGGAAGTTCATGCGGGAGGGTTAGCCGGTCACTTTGGACGTGATAAGAACATAGAGGAAGTTGAACGCCAATTCTATTGGCCTAGCTTAAAGAAAGATGTGGCTAAGATTGTTAGTACATGTAACACTTGTCAATTGAGCAAACAAAAGATGCAAAACACAGGCTTATACACCCCTCTTCTCGTCCCCAATTGTCCTTGGCAAGATGTTAGTATGGATTTTGTATTAGGCCTTTCACGCACCTCCAAGAAACATGATTCTATTTTTGTGGTTGTTGATCTTTTTTTGGAAAATGGCTCATTTTATCCCCTGTAGCAAGACCTCAGATGCGTCTAAGGTGACCATGTTGTTCTTTAATGAGATTGTTAAATTGTATGGGCTTCTTAAGGTCATTATGTCCGATAGGAATGTTCATTTCACTAGCCATTTTTGGATGATTTTGTTGCAAAAGATGGGTACCAAATTGAAATTTTCTATGGCTTACCACCCTCAGACTGACGGTCAAATTGAAGTAGTTAATCGAAATCTTGGTAACCTATTACATTGTCTGGTCTGGGAAAACCTTCGAAATTGGGATTTGATCCTTCCTGTAGCTCAAATTGAGTATAATAGCTCCATAAATCGTTCATTAGGTATGAGTCCATTTGAAGCCGTTTATGGGTACAAGCCTAGGAAACCGTTAGATCTCATCCCTATGTCCTCACAGGCTAGAGTGTTAGCGTCAGCCGAAGCATTTGCACATCATCTTCGTGATTTGCATATTGAGATCAATAAACAACCTGAAGCTAGTAATGAAAGATATAAACTCCAAGCTGATTTGTATAGACGACATATTGAGTTTAACGTTAGGAATTACATTATGGTTCGCATTAGGCCAGAGCGGCGTCTACATGACCTGCCTCCAAATTGCAAGCCAGTAGTTCCTTTTAAAATTTTAAAGCAAGTTGTCCAAATGCATATGTTGTTAACATTCCACCACATCTTGGTTATCACTCTACTTTCAATATTAAGGACCTAGTAGCTTATAAAGGTCATTTCATTCCCTCAGATGATCCTTTGTTACCTCCTTTTGTGGACCTTGATCCCGACTATTTGGCCACTTCTAACCCACTACCACCTATCACAACACACATAGATAAAATTGATGTTATTTTAGATGAAGAAATTGTGTTTATTAATGATGGAGAGGTTCAGCGCTTCCTCGTTCATTGGGTTTGTCGACCATATTCTGATTGTACATAGATCTCCAGAGAGACACTACAGCAATTAGATCCAGATTTATTGGAGCTTTATCAGAGTCAGCAGGATCTTCCTTGACCTAGATCGCCTCCCGTTCACACAAGGGAAGTTGGTGAGAACACCAGGTTCAGACCTCCACTGACACATTTCTACGGACGCCGGAAGAAGTTTGCCCAACCACTCAACTTATGGTTGGGAGATTGACGACAGCCTATAGTGATATATCCACTCGACAGGGTCGAGTTTTCTCAAATCGCGGGAGAGTTGATGAGGACATCGAATATTTATGCATTTTATTTTCTAGTTAAACTTTATTTATTTTCTTGGACTATTATTTAGAAAATTGGACTTGTATGGGCTCGGGCCCAATCTCGTTAGGGTTTGCTTTACTATTTAAACATACTTTGCTTTGTAATTTTCAGTTGATGAATGAATAAAATTATTGGTGGCTTGTGGCGAATTTCTTCTCTCTTCTCCGTTATTCTTCTCCTTCTTCTACTGTGCTTCCCCTTCTATCATCCCTTCCCCTAATCTCTTCTTCCTATTATTTGGTTTTCTCATTTTCTATTCAATAGTTATATTGGTGCTGCATCACTCCACTCCTAATCTCTTAATCTCTCTCCAAATTGAAGCTATTTCATATTAGCTCAAGAAAAATACCTAAAACAAAAAGAAAAAGCTCTCTGAATATGAAGTGGAGAAAACCAGTCTCCGAATCTGAAGTGGAGAAAACCAGAGGAATGCAAATTTATATAAATTGATTAAAACCTAACCTTCCCAACTAGAGTTGAAACAGTGACGGCTAACACCCATGTGTCAAGTTGCAGATCCGGGATGAAAAACTGTCTTTTAAGTAGTGCCAAAAATCACATTGTTCCTTTTAAGTTTTCTTCAGTCAAGTAGGGGCAATTTCTTTTAACAATGAATGACATAACAGCATCCCTATGTTTGGGATATGCTCGTCCAACTTTTTACAAATTGAAAAAGACTAATAAGAACTTTGAATTTTATTTTGTGGCTGCTTTTGACTCTATGTTCAACTTTTTAATTTAGGCACTTGAGGTGTTGGGAAATATTGCCCATGGCTCAGCAAGTTCTCGTGACCTTATCCTTAGTTATGGAGTGTTAATGCCCTTATTGGCACAATATAATGATAAAACAAATCTAACCATCATGCGTTTGGCAACAGAGACATTGTCTATTCTTTGTCGGAGAAAGCCTCAGTTCGAGCAGGTTTGTCTTCTAATTGGTTTTTTGTTCGATTTTAATGCATATCAATAATGTTGGACCTTTATATATTTAACCAATTCCTTCTGAATATTACTGGCAGGTGAAATCTGCCATCCTACCTCTTTCTCAGCTGATTCATGAACATGATAAAACGATCCTTACGCATGCATGCAGGGCACTATTCTATCTAACTTGTGGGAAAATGGATATAAAACAAGCTGTGATTGATGCTGGTGTTTTCCCTAGTTTGTTTGACCTTTTAAAGTCAGTGAAATAATACCATTTAATATAGTTCCCTTTTATTTATTTTTTATTTTTTAAGTTTTTGCTTTGCTTTTGCTTATTGAACTTCATACCCGTGCTTATTTGGTTTAGTGGTTCGCAGATATCGTAAATCATATATTTCGCGTCCTGCCCTGCGAACCATTGATAATATTATTTCATATGTAGATGATACCCAGATTCAGGTATCAGCTAACTCTTGTCCTTAACCTTTATTAGAAAACTTTCTTTGGAACACATTAATTTGTTATTTGATATGTTCACCTTTCCAATGGTAGTCCATAAAATGTCTACTATATTTCACAACCAACTTTTGTTTGCTTGTTTCATATGGTAGGCCATTTTGTCTTTTAGCAGTTCCGATGGTCTACATACTTAACAGTCATTATGTGTTATATTTACCTTAGGTAGAGAGGGGTGTCCTTGTCAACGAAGCCAAAAATGCATTGCTTGATCATTCATGGTTCAGATATGTTCATTTTACAAATACATTCTTGTTGCTTCTATTGCTAAATAATCATTAGAAGAATGGCTTCAGTCCTCATTGTTTTTGTCATATTCATGATCCATATATGTTCAGTTTTGGCACAATGCTTATAATACGTTTGAAGCACATACCATCACTAGGAATCCAAAAACTGTACAAAATTCAAAAATTACTATTTGAAACTCATTAGTTGAATTTGCAAATGCCAAGTGTGTGACTTCAAGTATCATCCTGGGAAATTAACCCTTATAATCTTTGACCAATTTTTAAGAGCTCTAATAAGTTCAATGCTAACCCTGTACTTAAGGACGTCAAGCGGTGTTTACCTTTTTTACAAACTTGCTTCTGTTGAATGATTTCCAGGTCATCATTGATAATGGGGCTCTTCATTGCCTGTGTAGAATGTTGACACGAAATTCCAATATCATTGTCACGGAGTCCACTTGTTATATCATTTCAAATATCTTTGGACGGACTAAAGATCATATTCAGGTATGCAAATTACTATGGAATAGCTTTTGGCTTTGTCGCATTACTCTATGCATTTATACTAATTGGAGAAGGGCGAGGAATGATGTTACAGCAAAGAAGTTTATAGTTTCCACCAGTCAATTATTGTTTTGAACATCAAGATTGATGATTTTTCCATTTGCGGTCCTTCAAAAAATTTTCAAAAATTTTTCTCGTATTAGTAACTCTGTTATGATGAATTCGACAGTTGTTCTGTTGTTTGCAATTTGAAGTCTTCCATTAAATCCGTTTATCTTACAAAATTAAGATGTCGAGGAGATGCCATCTTAATACTGTTGGAATTTAAGGGTATATAAAAAGATTAAAATGTGTGAACTGGAAAAAGCCTTCAATAAGTGCATCGATTGGGTGTGACTCTTCAAGTGCATAACAAAGAGTAATGACCTTTGATAAAGATGCAATCTAGACCATCAATCTTGAAGTTTTGATTTTTTTTAATTTTTTGATGATCGTGGGTGTCGCATGCGTACCTCGACTAATTCCACGTCGCTTTAAAGTTTACAGTCGGGTACTCACCTCAGTGATTCTGAGTGGACTCAAACTGGTGATCATTAGGGAGTAAACCCAAGACCTGACCATTGAAATTGTGATTTCTAAGAGTTAAAATTAATTTGTGCCAAGAGATATGACCATTCGAAGATATATATAAAAGTCTATAAATTGAAGTATTGGACCCTCCTAATTCCATTTCCTCCTAATTCCATTTTCTCCAATTCTAATCAATTCCAAATAATTGATTTCTAATTCTTCCCTTATCCAAATTATGTCAAAATAATTTTCTAATTATTTTTCAGTTTCGTGTTCAATATTTTGTATTCTATATCTTCCGTTCTAAAAGAGTATAGTGAAGTGTTGGTTCATCCAACAAAATATATTTTACTATATTAATTTTGAAAGAAGCATTGTATCTTAGGAGATAAATGTCCATTTGATCCTATTAGCACTAGTGCAGGGGGCGAAATCCGTCTTAAGGAGATTTGTATTAGCACGTCTCGCTTTATTTCATTTCCTTCTAATTTCCGCATTTTTTTTAAATGTCAGTGAGTTGTCATTTTACTTATTTTTTGTGCACGTATTTTTTATTTTGGTAAGTCAAAATATTATTCGCTAATTTGGATGTTAATAACAACTTAAATCATGCATGTGAATATAATTATGCACCAATTTATCGAATAATCTTAAGATGGATTTTCATGTTAATTTATATACTGATGGTCAAAATCAGTTTATGTGGATGCACCGTTTTAGTTTGTGTTTGCTCTTTGACTTTGTTATTCGTGGATTATTCTTTCATATTACTCGATTACTTTATTATGCATTGTTCATATATAATGCTAGTTTACTTATATGTTGTATTGCATGATGAGAACATATTCTTAACTCTGGAATTGATATTGTATATATGTTCTGTATATTGAAAAAGTATGTGAAAGAACTTTCTCTTTAATTTTTCTTCAATTTCTTGGTAAACTAAAAAGATATTGAAGCATTTGGATTCTAATTTTCTACTCGTTCTATTTAAAAAGATGCATGCATTAGCAGTGAAATTATTTATGCTTCTCTAATTACAGAATTTGAGTAGTGGCAAGGGGTTGTGGTGGGGATAAAGCAATGCCTGTTATATGTATTCTAACTGCCCTCGTTGAAATTTGGTGGCTAACCATCATGTCTCTTCTTTTAAGAAGTGCAATTTCTTGAATTTCATTTATCAACCACAAAGATAAAAGAAATGGCAGTATCCACTAGGAACTCACTGGTGAAACGTCACCAGGCTGATGGGTTTAGAGAAAGTGAATGTGGGTGTTTTCGCTTATATGGCATAATTTTAAAGGAGTTTTGCACACTATATGATTAATTTCATATGTACCCTAAAGTTGTAGGATAGTATTTCTCCATATTATTGTGTGTTTCGCACAATTTTTGACTCGTCCACGTGGTGTAACTCATGATCTCAATTTGGGTCTATCTGACAAATGTGATCATATCTGCATGCCCAATTAAACTTGGGTGAGGCTGGAATTTTTTTTTTTTTAGAAGATGACTTTTCACTTTTAGTTTGTGAATTGACATTCTTAAATATTAAAATGCATGGGCTTTTATATGACATTGACATTCCTAGTAATTTTATATGCCGACTGGAAGTAGAATAAAATTGTTTATCAAGTAGATAAACACAATTATTGATATGATTGAACTTTATAGGCATACTCAGACAAATATTATATTGCTAAGTTGAGTCTTATCCAGAATTCAAAATCTACTAATAAATATGTTTTATTATTGAGAGAGGAATTGTTTCGTGAAAATCCTCTATACAATGTGAGAATTGAAAGAAAATAGAGCTTTCAATAAAATTGGAAGGAAGCATGACGACTTTAAGGATTTTCTAATCTATGAGAATTTGTGCTTGCTATAACATTTGTTTGAGATAGCTAGCTAAAAATATGTTGGCATAGAATGTCGTGTATAATGGTAGGTTTTGATATATAAATTGTAGACATAATATCATTTGGCAGCTACTCTCGAGTGAAATAATACCGACTGTTTCATTGGAAGATAACCTACCGGATCCGCTTATAAAGAGGTTATCTAGAGCGCACCGAGGAAAAATGTGTATAAAGCCTACATTAATGGATCAATTTAATGGAAACCTGACTTGGTGATAGGAGATCTCACGGACTAGCTATGATTGACTCAATGAAAAGCACTTCGAAGTTTTAACTCCTTCACATTTCTATGATGCAAATAAATACTGCCTGCCAAATATTGGTTGGGATAATTCATGCTTGTAATGATGATTGTATCTTGTAAATAGTACAAGTGGAGTATTGTAGTGTACTCTTTATACAATATCACTTATGTGAGTGTGAACTTGGCCAGTTTTATGAGAATTTTACTCGTGCAAATTCTCTATCACACTTGCAAAACCAAGAGATTCAGTGCTAAAATAATGAACACAATAGAGAATCAAAGTTTGATATGAGATATAATGTGTTTGACCCATTGTCTTTACTTGCAATAATGGTCAAAACATTGCATTGACTGATTAGCCAAATGAGTTCGATAGTTTTTTATGAAGGAAAGTTCAAAGCAAAAGTTACTGATCCTAATGCATTATATTTCAATTGTACTCTTCTTTGTCTTTCTTGTTTTGAGTTGACTTTTTCCATTCATGCTAGGGGTTGTTGGAATTTAAGGGTATATAAAAAGATAAAATGTGTTGAAAAAAAAATCATTAATAGGGGCATCGATTGGATGCGACTCTTCAAGTGCCAAATGTGCATAACAAGAAGTCATGATTGTTGGTAAAGGTACGATCTAGAATATCAATCTTGAAATGGTGAGATTTAATGGTTAAAATAATTTATGTCAAAAAATGTGACCATTCGAAGAAATATATGAAATCTATAAATAGGATCCTCTTAATTTCATTTTCTTCAATCCTAATCAATTTCAAATAATTAATTTCGAGTTCTTTCCTTCTCCAAATTATATCAAAATAATTTTCTGATTACTTTTTGAGTCTTCTGTTCGATATTTAGTATTCAATATCTTCTGTTTTAAAAGAGTATAATCAAGTGTTGGTTCGTTCGAAAAAATTAATATTATGCTATTTTAAATTTGAAAGAACCATCGTATTTTGGGAGTTAAAACGTCCATTTGATCCTATTAGCACCAGTGTAGGGGACGAAATCCGCCTTAATGAGATTTGCATTTGCATACCCTCGCTTTATTTTATCTTCCTCTAATTTCTGCATTTTCCTAAATGTTAGTAAATTGTCATTTTAATTATTTTTCATGCACCTAATTTATTTGATAATTTGCATGTCAATATTAAATAAAATCATGCATGTATTAAAGGGAATATAATGCACCAATTTGTCCAACAAGTACACAGGCTGTGATTGAGGCTGGTATTATTTCTCCTCTTCTCCAACTGCTTCAAGATGCTGATTTTTTTAAAGCAGCTGGTGAGGTTATCTATAATGCGACGACTAAGGGAACTAATCAGCAAATCAAGTAAATTTTTCATAGCTATTGTCATATTCTCGTAGCTTATTGTACATTTAGGTTGAGTATTAATGCTTCATCTTTGTGGCAGGTTCCTGGTGCACGAGGGTTGTATAGAGCGAATGTGCGATCTTCTATTTAATCCCAACGAAGTGCATGTCATAAAAATCTGCTTGGAAGGCCTTGAGAACATTCTGAAGCTTGGAGAAGCTGAAAAGAACCAAGGTAACCCCGAAGATGTGAATGTCTTTGCTCAAATGATTGAAGATGCTGGGGGTCTACAGAAAATTAAGAACCTCCAGACTCACGACTACAGTAAAATAAGCCGAATTGCTGTGAAGATACTTGTAACGTATTGGCATCAAGAGGGCAATAATGATGAGGACGACAACGATGATGATAGTGATGATGGTGGTGGTGTGACGATGACTGCCGATGATGAGGATGACGAGGACTCTGAGGATGAGGATGAGGATGAGGATGAGTAGGAGGGGGATTATAATGATGATGAGGATGGGGATGGGGATGGACGGATGGTAACGATGAGGACTCTGATATTAAACCAAACACCCTATCATGACTTTCAGCTAACTTTTTTAGTGATGTTCCACAATCTGGGTTTGTTTATTATATAGTAATTTATCATTTCATTTGGTTTTTGCTAAAAAGTTTTAAGGCATGTTTGGTACAAACTAATGGATTAATGCAGACAACATAAAGGATTAGATTTTGAGCATTTTTTTCTCCATTCTAGTCAACCATCAAGGGCTTTAAAAACGTCTGCCGTAAAAAATCTGGCCGTGGTCTTCAAGTGAGCCATCAAGGAGAAACGTGCAAGCTGAAAATGAAAATATATAACAATTTTTTCCCTACTATATAAAAAGAAGAATGAAAAGTTACTGTAGAAATCAACAGTAAATTGTTCCATTTTGTTTCACTTTAGTATTTTTATTTTTTTTAAGTGGGGGAGCAAAAACGACGTCGTTTGTCTTTGCTTGATATATATTTTATTATAAAGTAAAAAAGAGACAATCTAAATTTACTGCAACACACAACTTTTCATGCCTCCCACCAAGTCTCATCTCTTCACTCCGTGCTCAACCACTCTTATATAAATATATGGAAAAAAAATAAATTTTAGTTAAAAAAATTAAAAAAATAAAAATATCTACTAATAATACAAGACAGAAAACATTTCTAAAATGTAAAAAGTTACTTGTAAGTAAAAAAATTGAAGAAAAAAGAATTAAAAAGAATTTTAAATTGAAAAAAATTATTTATAATGTAAACTACACAAAAAATAAAAAATAAAAAAAAATCTTTCCGTGCACGGAGACTTGAGTCACCATGCATAGAGACTCTAACTTTAGAGTCGCAGCGCATGCGCATAGAGACTAGTTAGAGTTTCTGAGCATGTGCACGAAGATGTCT